ATGTGATATTGAAGTTTGTATAATCTGTCTTGAAGCGGATCTGTTGAATCACCTTCTGTTGGAATCCATCTGTCCATCGGAAGAGGGACTTCAGGATCATCTGGCTTGTTTTCATCCTTGAATGAATCGATTTTTTTTGTCTCTTTCCATTTTTAAAAGAAAGACTCAACAATAAACTTTGACTCAAATATAGACTCAACATAAAGAAACTTAGACTCACAAGTCACAAGACTTACAAGACTCACACAATTTGACTTGACTTGACAAACCAACTTAAAAAGCCTAAACTTCCTAGCTTGCTCTGATACCAAAAATGATGTAATCAAAACTCTGAGGAGAGGGACCCAAATTTTCGATGACAAAAAACAAAACAACTTACTAAATAGAAGAATGACATAACTATACTAAAAAGGAGAGATAACTTAGAAACTTTAGAACAAACTCTTATATTTCATATAAAAGAACACTTAGAAACATAATATTAAAAGACACTTTGATATATAAAGACTCTTACAATCGACTCAAATAAAAAACACCTAAACTTGCTTTTCAAGAGAAGAAAGATACAGATGGAAGGGTACTTGCGGAGAGACGAAAGAGATTATAAGCCGAGAAGAAGGGTGGAAAGAATTTGCAAGTCTCCCCAAGAGATAGAAGAAGAAGAAGAAGCTCTCAAGCTCTTCCAAGAAAATCACTAAGATTTCTTTCAAAAAAAAAAAACATCTTCTATATATAGACAAGGGAGGGGAATACAAACAACTCCAAAAACCCTTTAATATTCTATATTAAATAAGGGAAATGAAAAGCCAGCAGTCAACTCCAGGAAACGAAGCACCAGAGCCACGGAAAAGCCCCCCATCAGCCACGGGAAAACAGCCCAGGCGAAACCCGAAGAGGCAGTCGCAAAAGCCAAGAAGGCCCGCAAGGAACCGAAGCACTAAGGCACGAGAAAGGCCACCCAACATGGAAAACTAGCAGCCAACCGGGGAAACCAAGGAGCCATTCTTGGAAACCCAAGGGACAAAGCTCAGAATTTTAAGAGATAAAACTATAAATAAAGAGTTACATAAATAGGTAAATAAATGAACTAAAACATAGCTAATAATGAGTTAACTTTTAGTTCAATAAATGAACTAAAAACCGGCTCATAATGAGCTAAATTTCAGCTCAAAATTTATTGAGCTAGCATGCTCAAGTGACCCCCCTTTGCCTACATCAGACTCCCCTTCTTGAGGACTCATCTCCCGATGAGTTAGCTTTTGTTTTCTTCTGAGGAGGTGAAGGCAGTGCATCTAACTCTTTAATATTTTCTCCAAACTTCTTCAAAATTTCTTCTTGCTCTTTCTTGAACTATTTTTGTAGATACGTCTTCCATTTCTCGAATTTCTGATCACATAAGAACATGTGATATTGAAGTTTGTATAATCTGCCTTGAAGCGGATCTGTTGAATCACCTTCTGTTGGAATCCATTTGTCCATCGGAAGAGGGACTTCAGGATCATCTGGCTTGTTTTCATCCTTGAATGAATCAATTTTTTTTTTTGGGTTTTTCCATTTTTATAAGAAAGACTCAACAATAAACTTTGACTCAAATACAGACTCAACCTAAAACAACTTAGACTCATAAGACTTACAAGACTCACACAACTTGACTTGACTTGACAAACCAACTTAAAAAGCCTAGGACTTCCTAATTTGCTCTGATACAAAAAATGATGCAATCAAAAATCCAGGGTGAGGGACCCAAATTTTCGATCACAAAAAACAAAACAACTTACTAAATAGAAGAATGACATAACTATACTAAAAAGGAGAGATAACTTAGAAACTTTAGAACCAACTTTTTACATTTCATATAAAAAGAACACTTAGAAACATAATATTAAAAGATACTTTGATATATAAAGACTCTTACAATCGACTCAAATAAAAAACACCTAAACTTGCTTTCCAAGAGAAGAAAGATACAGATGGAAGGGTAATTGCGGAGAGACGAAAGAGATTAGAAGCCGAGAAGAAGGGTGGAAAGAACTCGCAAGTCTCCCCAAGAGATAGAAGAAGAAGGAGAAGCTCTCAAGCTCTTCCAAGAAAATCACTAAGATTTCTTACCAAAAATTCTCTTATCACATTTCTAAAACAACCACAAAACATCTTCTATATGTAGACAAGGGAGGGGAATACAAACAGCCCCAAAAACCCTTTAATATTCTATATTAAATAAGGGAAATGAAAAGCCATCAGTCAACTCCAGGAAACGAAGCACCAAAGCCACGGAAAAGCCCCCCATTAGCCACGGGAAAACAACCCAAGAGAAACCCGAAGAGGCAGCCGCAAAAGCCAAGGAGGCCCGCACGGAACTGAAGCACCAAGGCACGAGAAAGGCCACCCAGCACGGAAAACCAGCAGTCAACCGGGGAAACCAAGGAGCCATTCTTGGAAACCCAAGGGACAAAGCTCAGAATTTTTAAGAGATAAAATTATAAATAAAGAGTTACATAAATAGGTAAATAAATGAACTAAAACATAGCTAATAATGAGTTAACTTTTGGTTCAATAAATGAACTAAAAACCGGCTCATAATGAGCTAAATTGCAGCTCAAAATTTATTGAGCTAGCAAGCTCAAGGGAAGTCAAAACCAATTTTTTTTTGTTTGATTTGACCCCCCCCTTTGCCTACATCAAATAGGGAAAGGAAACCAATAAACACTTAAAGTAGCCGCCCAAATTAGCCAACCAAAACGGAGGGAAAACCCAAAAAAAAAAAAGCGGCCAGCCCAAGAACCGAACGGACAAGCAACCCAACAGCCAGCCAGAATCGTAACAGCCAATAAACCCAACAGAAACCAAGGAAAAAAGACACGGCAGGATCAGGAACCAAACAACCAGGCACCCAATTGCCATCCAAACACCAAACAACAAAAAGGAAATGGGCCAACCCATTAAGCTAATTTTAGAACAACATTAAATACCCAAGGAAATGTTTTTTTGCCTACATCAATTATTCCTAGGTGGAGAATCTCATCTCCTGGATCGCTTCAATCATCTGCTGAGAGATATCAGGATGATGAAGCTGCAACTCCTCATCTTCAACAGTCAGTCAGGGGGGCGTCAATTCCATCCAACCAAGAGTCGTTGGTGCACTCCATGTTTTGCTTGGGTTGTACAAATATCCACATCATCATTACGAACAGTAAGGGGCAAAGTCCCACACAATTGTTTGCTTTTAGCAGTACCTGTTAATATCTTTTCAACAATTGAATGATTTTTTTTTTTTCAAAATAAGGTTTTTCATGATGTGGTTGAACCAACTCTTTCAAAAAGCTCAACATCTTTTGAGAAAATACTGCTAACCAAAGTATACTTGTCAAGAAAAATAATGGATGATAAACCATTACTTGACACAACTTGATTCATCAATTCAAGTTGTTCATCCTCTATAAACTGCATGTTTCCTTCAATATTTTGATGGGCTATAAAGGCTTTATCAACAACTTCCTCCATGGCCGTTGTTCCCAATTGCAGTTCTTCTGGCGGCCTCGCCTTCTCTTCTTCCATGTTTACTTCATTCAACGACATTTTGCAGCAGATAGGTTGAATGATTGATCAACATATTGCAACGTTGCTTCATCATATCAACTTTAAAAAATAACAGTTTCTCCATTGTGCCTTTCATGGTCGTCTCTTTGTCAGTCTGTGTTTGCACCTCGCTCTTTTTTTTAATACATTGTTCCTCACACTGCCATCCTATCCACGACTTCAACTTTGTCTAATGTTTGAGTATCAAATTTATCTACAATATCATTGATTGGATAAATAGTAAACTGAGCATCTTGAGGAGCATAACCTAGCTCCATTTCTTCTTCTTTTTTTGGATGTTGCTTTGTAGGAGGAAAATACGACAACTTACTACCAAGATCATGAACTGAATCAGGATTAATTGAAGAACCAACTTCATCAATAGGCTTTCTCCAAAGTGAGTTTTGCAAACAACTAGAATCTGCTCGTTGGAATATAGATTTCACCTTATTGGATCCCGCATTTTGTTTCAAAATAGGTTTGCCTTTTGGACTTAGTGTAGCCAAGGTATTTGTCATTACTTACATTTGTTGTTGTAGGTTAACCAGTTGTTGCATAAACATACGTTGCCATTCAGCTTGCTGATTATCCATATTTTTATAAAAAAGAAAAGAAGAATAGAACAACATTCAAAGGCTCTGATATCAAATTGACGCAACAAAATAATAGCACAAAGACACAACATTCCTTTCTTAAAACATAGACAAATATAAACAAGATAACAATAATATTAAAACAAAGGCACACTACAACTTATAAAAACTTAAGAGGAAGGATACAATGGAAGGGTAAATTGTGGAGATAAGAACTAGGTAGAAGTCTTAGAAGAACAAGTAAGTAGGGAAGAAGAAGCTCTCAAGCTTCGGAAGAAAACCGTCAGGTTTTAGAGATAAAATAAGGTTCAACCACCCTTCCAACAGCAGCCATCAGCCCCTATAAATAGGGAAAGGAAACCAACAAAGCCCAAATCAGCCAACCAAAATAGAGGGAAAACCCAGGAAAAAAGGCATGACCAACCCAAGAACCAAACGGACAAGCAGCCTAACAGCCAGCCAAACTCGGAACAGCCAAGAAACCCAACATATATCAAGGAAAAAAAGGCACGGCAGGATCAGGAACCAAACAACAAGGCGCCTAACAGCCATCCAAACACCAAACAACAAAAAGGAAATGGGCCAAGCTCATTAAGCTAATTTTAGCCCAACATTAAATACCCAAGGAATTGTATTTTTGCCTACATCATTTATATATATATATATATTGAAGGTTTAGGCTTTAAATATTGGAGAAGAAGGGGCACAATGAAGAGAAGTGGCATAAATATCTTAAATTCTTCATTTTCCAGTATTTTCTAAATACAGCATTTAACCTATGATGGGAGGAAAAGAAGATTTAAGAAGGCAGTAGGAATTATGTGGTTCAAAAACTGTATGGCCCGATTTAACCTAAATTTTTAGCTACATCTTGGCTAATTCTTGTAGCCAAACATTTCCTCGGACTCAGCTTTACTTGGAATTCCATTCCCTGAATACGCCATTTATTGTGCCCCAGGGACAATTTCAGGTTTCATACTAATTACTATTGCATGGACAAAGAATTTATTTATCCGTTGCTTAATTTAATTATTTGTTAATTAAACTAGAGTGAGGTACCAAATTTATGATTCTAATTAATATATTATTGGTTATTTGGATTATGAGCATTGTAGATAAGGCATGCATCTGTTTATATGGTTAATTTATAGGTTTTGTCATTTAAATTTATAGGTGATGCACAAGATTGTGCGAATTATAGAGGTATTAAGTTAATGTGTCTTACTTTAAAACTATGGGAGCGAGTTATGGAGCATAGGTTGCGGCGTGATACTAATGTTTCTCAAAATCAATTTGGATTCATGCCGGGTAGGTCGATTATGGAAGCCATACATTTATTAAGAGGTTTGATGGAGAAATATAGAGAAAATAAGGAGGATCTACATATGATATTTATTGATTTAGAAAAAGCATATGATAAAGTTCCAAGAGAAGTGCTATGGAGAGTTCTTGAAAAGAAAGGAGTCAATAATGCTTATATTCAAATCATTAAAGATATGTATGCAGGAGCTATTACTTGTGTTCAAACACAAGGTGGATTGACCAAGTATTTCCCTATTTCGGTTGGGTTACATCAAGGATCAGCCTTAAGCCCATATCTTTTTGCTTTAGTCATGAATGTTCTCACTAGACATTTGCAAGAAGATGTACCTTGGTGTATGCTTTTTGCTTATGATATTCTTCTTGTTGATAAGACTAGAGAGGGAGTTGAAGGTAAACTTGAATTATGGAGGTCAACCTTAGAGTCTAAAGGTTTTTGCTTGAGTAGATCTAAAACGGAATATATGGAGTGTAATTTTAGTAGTAATAGACCTAGTGAGGGGATTGTGACTTTGGGCGATCAAGTCATTAATAAGAGTACACGTTTTAGATATCTTGGATCTATTGTTCATTGTGATGGTGAAATAGATGGGGATATTATCAGCAGAATTCAAGTTGGATGGTTGAAGTGGAGGAATGCATCGGGCTTGTTATGTGATAGAAATGTACCCCTCAAACTTAAGGGAAAATTCTATAAGATGGTAGTGAGGCCTGCAATGCTTTATGGTGCCGAATGTTGGCCTTTAAAAGAGAAGCATAATACTAAGTTAAGTGTGGCAGATATGAGGATGCTTAGGTAGATGAGTGGCTTTACCCTTATAGATAGGATACAAAATGAGCATATACGTGAAAAGGTTGGAGTAGCTCCAGTAGAAGATAAGATTAGAGAAAGTCGCCTTAGATGGTTTGGTCACATAAAACGGCGGCCTTGTGATGACCCGGTTAGGAGAGTAGAGGTATTAGATTTGACTTATGTTAAGAAAGGTAGGGGGTAGACCTAAAAAGACTTGGTTAGAAAATATTAGGAATGACCTTTCTTTATTAGATTTAAACGAGAATTTGACTTTTAATAGGACACAATGGAGAAAAAGGATTCATGTAGCCGACCCCACGTAGTGGGATAAAGGCTTGATGTTGTTGTTGGGTTATTCATCATTTGGTGCTAATTTTCTGGATCGTATGGGGATATTGAATTATAGACTAGTACTACACTCGAAGGTAGACAGTTTTATTTAATATATTTTTTCTTTATTAGGATCATAACCCTTGACAATTGCTATAAGTTTTATTCAGTTTGTCTATATTATGCACTATGCATGTGTATGTTTTAGGTAATAACTGCTATTTCTACTGTGGTGGCTAGTAGATGTTTCATGTGATGTACTATTTGTACTGGTTTTATTAGTAATTTTTTCCCGCAACTCTCCTTTCTTCTCTTATGTTCATTCACATATTGTTAAATTTTGGAGGATTAGATGAACAAGTTCTATTTCTTCCCATTTTCATTTAATCATAAACTTGCTTCGAAAGTTATGCTATTATGATATGGTGTTTCTTATTTTTCAACACTAATATCTTCCTTCGTTTCTTATGGATAGTTTATTTGATTGATGAATATGCAGAACTTGGAAAGTCTATTAGGTAGTCTATTGGATGGCGGTAGCTGCTTCTGGGCAGTTAAACCTTGATGAATCCCCCTCTTGGGGTTCGCGTGGTGTGGATTGCTTTGAGAAACTGGAGCAGATTGGTGAAGGGACTTATGGGTTGGTTGGATAATCTTAAAGCATTTTCAATTCTCGTATACTTGTACTTTTCACCCAGTTTTGAATGAGAAATGTTTATTTCTTTATCCATTGGCTAGTCATTGAATTGACTTTTAATTAATAGCGAATGCATTCATTTTTCATCATTGTTACCTTTGAAAGCATTGGTTTTACTTGGCTTTTCATTATTTTTTTATCATGCTCATCTACTATTTTGATTATTGTCTATTGAGCTTTTGCTCTCATATTTAAGAAGCATTAAAACACCAACATTTTGCGTCATCCCTTTTTTATTCTTGTTTACTATTTGGATGTGGAGATATACTTCTGAATGCCATAAAAGGTTTATGCGTTCTGGGTTTGTTCATGGGTATTGTGGCTTTTTGCCCTTATGAGTTAAATTTTATCTTGCAGACGGCGGTGTCTCTGTTGTTTTTTTTTCGGAAATAGCAACTCATTAATATTGAATAAAGTCATCATACTTGACTGGACATTGTCAACTTTTTTGGGAGAGATGTGCACTTATATCCTTCAAGATCGGTTCATATATTTGCTGTATGCAATAGCTCGCAGTGGTTGAATACTTTATGTTTTTTAAATAATTTATTCTATTATTTTGGAGTCGGACAGCGAACATGTTCATGCTTTTCGAATTTGTTTAGAAAGGCTCTTCACTCTTCAGCTTGGAATTTTTTAGAGATTTTGAATTGAAATATTATTGATGGTTTAGACTTATTTATTTTGCCTAACTAATATTAGTTTGCTGATGTTATTGGATGTCTATACTTTCTATCCAACATTTATTGCCCAATCTCTTGGCTCATACTTAATACTGGGGTTTGGTGCTTCTGAAATTGCAGACAAGTGTACATGGCTAAAGAAATCAGGACTGGAGAAATTGTAGCGCTTAAGAAAATTAGGATGGACAATGAAAGAGAAGGGGTATGGTTCCATTTATCTTCCACAGCAGGGGCGAACAATTTTTTTTTTCGCTTTTGGCCCTATTGCATTTTAGATATTCATGGCAATATATTTCTTCTACAGTTCCCCATTACTGCAATACGAGAAATAAAAATCCTAAAGAAGCTGCAGCATCAGAATGTCATCCAACTGAAAGAGATTGTGACATCTCCAGGTTCGATCCTGAATTGTTTTTATTTTTTGGCTGATGTTTGAGTTGTTCTCTTACATATTACATTTTTATACGTTTCCAGGTCCAGAGAAAGATGAACAAGGAAAGCCAGGTGGGTCCTATGGCATATTATTGATTAGTATACCTATGAATCTTATAATTATTAGCAATTCACTTATCTTATGAACTGGTGGAAATTAGCTGATGGTTTCAGATTATTTTGAAGAAAACATTTTGCTAACATTATTAAATTTTGTTGAGATGTCTAGATGGGAACAAATACAAAGGAAGCATCTATATGGTTTTTGAATATATGGATCATGATCTAACTGGCTTGGCAGATCGTCCGGGTATGAGATTCTCTGTACCGCAAATAAAGGTATGGTAACTTTTAGTGGTTGATTTATCGTTTTAGTTCGTGGTATTTTACTGAACCTCTGTTCTTATTATGGTAGTGTTACATGAGGCAGCTGTTAACTGGACTACATTATTGTCACGTTAACCAGGTGCTTCATCGTGACATCAAAGGTTGTAATTATTTACATTTGTTGCACAAATTATTATTGCATGACATTATGTGCAAAATTGCTCATTGTATTTTTTTTGGATCTGTTGCAGGTTCTAATTTACTGATTGATAACGAGGGAAATCTAAAGCTTGCTGATTTTGGACTTGCGCGCTCATTTTCTAGTGAACACAATGGAAACTTAACTAATCGTGTAATAACTCTGTGGTATAGGTAAGATGCTTACATCATCAGTTACTATTCCATATAATTATGATGATAATATTGCTTTCTACTGTTTATGTTTATTTTGCTGCCTTGCCCGTTTATTTCCTTTTGACTACATCGGTTATTTGAATAAGAGCATTTAATATATCAAATACAATGGCAATACGTGACTTGTCCATGAACTAGTCTACTCAAGTGATCACATTTCATTTTCTCGATGGTTGTAATGCAGGCCTCCAGAATTACTGCTTGGAGCAACGAAGTATGGTCCAGCTGTAGACATGTGGTCGGTTGGTTGTATTTTTGCAGAACTCCTTCATGGAAAGCCCATCTTGCCTGGGAAAAATGAGGTAGGTTTTTTTTTTTTTTTTTGTGAAACTTCTGTTACTTTAATGCAATGTTTAAAATTGTGTATTCGGGTATTGAGGCGTTTTTCATTCGTGAGGCGAGGCGTAAGCCTCAAGGCGTTTTGAGGCGTAAGCCTCAAAATCAAAAGATCGCGTAAACATAAAATGATAAATTTTTTATATACTAATGAGTGAATAATATAAAACATAAAAAACATAAGATATGAAGTGAAATCAAAATATCTCTATAATAAGACAACATGAAACATAGTTCAACTCAATATTCTATCTTTCCCAAATCCCAGTATTCTTTTCATTAACATATAATTCCAATTTCCAAAAATAAATAGCAATGACATATCACATAAGAACTCATAAGTCATAAGCATTGTCATCACTAAAGGGTTCCTCATTTGAATCATCATTATGGTGAACTGTTCTCTCCCCTTCCTCCTCTCCTATAGAGTCAAATGTCGGGCATTTACTTCAAGATTTATGTAAGTTTTAATATATAAAGCGTGAGGCGAGGCGGGCCTCAACCAAGTTGAGGCGCAAGCCTCATAAAAAAAACTCAAGGCGTTTTTTACTGGAATTGACAAAGACGGGCCTCATATTGCGCAATTTTTAACCATGCTTTAATGTATACATAACAGACTCTTTCTTGCTAGATATCATGTTTAATATTTTACCTGATGATAAATCATCTTCAACAAATTTACAAATTTGTGTTTGTAGGATTTCAGTGTTAATTATGAGTCAGTGTTTTCTGTCTAATGTATACCAGGAGTTTATGCCTGAATTATAAGTGGAATACTCGTGAGATTTAATTTAGGAGGGTAGCTGATGGTTGGCTTCGATGGATATAGACATTTTCTTGTGTTTGTTTTGGTTTATTTTTTCAAACTTTTGTAATCATCATGCACATATATCAAACCGAGTTTGTTGCCTTTCTTGTGAACTTTTAATAGGCTTGGCTGAAGTTTTTTGTTCAATTTAGTTTCCAATTGCTGCAGGCCAGCAACATAAAACACCTTGGAACCTTTTTCCGTTCTACTGATCCAACCCTTATTAAAAATCAAGTAACCAAAAGTTGGTTATATGATTTAGAAGTCCTGGAGCCGTCGGTAGTTATGGACAAGCTATTGGATGGTTCCTTTTCTCCTTCTTACTCAGATTCCTCTTGAATTAACTGAGACGTGCTGTTCTCATAACAAATCATGGTTTTTGGCCAGATTTAAGCCAATTTAGAACCCATCCTAAGATGAACTTTAGTTGTGCGGGGCTACTGCTTATCTTGGTGTTTCGCAGTTTGAACCAAAAGCGAGAGAAAAAGTGGATAGAAGGGCTGGCCTTGCTCCTGGTCTTTCATGCATCTGATGAAAACAATGAGGGGGAGAGAGTAATAAATCTAAAAATGTCAACTTGAAATTTATCTAAGTTTTAGTGGGTCAAATGATACTCTGTTTATAAGACAATCGTGGAAAATTCAAATTTTAACTTATTACTAAATTCTAGGAGAAGAAATTTTTTGTAAAATTTGAAATCTAAGACAACCAATCTTAGATTATAGATAACTACCTCCTAAATACTAGGAAATGCCTGGTTAAAAACCTAAAAATCTAGGAACAGAACCTAGAATTTAAAAAAAAAATCTACCCTAGATGGTTTGAATCAAACCATTGTACCTGTTCTCTAGTCCAACTTGCCCGGCCCAAAGGGATCAACTAGCTTCTTGGTACACTGGTTATCGTCATCCTAAGTGATCGAATATGACTGGCTTCTTCTATATTGTTGTCAACTGAATGTTAGCTACAGATTTGCCATGATCATGGTTGCCCCTTTTGGTTTCATTTGCGTTTGCCAGTAGTAATAGATTTTGGAAGAGTCTTAGTCTAATTATTTCATATACTATTTTTATTTTTCCTGTAGCTCTTACCTTTTTAATGATATTGAATGTCTGCTTTGATCCAAGTAATCCAACTCACATTGAGGTATTCTGCATGTTCATAATGCAGTTCTCTTGCAGTGCGCCTTTTAAGTCTAGTGTTGATACTTCAACTATTGGAATCACCATTATTTTATCCTCTTCATTCAAATTTTACAAATCAAATAGTTTTAAATTCTCATCATTGATAATGTAGTTGATCCTGTTGTAGCAAGGCAGATCTAAGCATAATGCTTTTTCAATAATCTTTTGTAAAATTTGAAATGGACCATAGTAGATTGATTCAATCTTTCATCCTTTATCTTTCAAGTAATTCTTCCATAAGTGCTAAAAAAGTATATCATCTTCTTGAAAAGTGCATTGTATTTTGCCAATGTTTTCTTCAATTTTTTCTCTACCTCCTTGTGGATATTAGAAATCCTTTCATGAATTGATGTGACTGTCACCACTCTTCATGATGCAATGAAAAGCAATAGGATTGCAAACTACAGGTCTTCCTTTTCATAAACATAGCAATACTATTATAAATAAAGACACATCTTACAACTTCAAATAAAACAACTTATCATAGATTTGAGAAGAAAGATACAAGTGGAATGGAAATTATGGATAGAAGAATAGATAGAAGACTGAGACAAAATAAAGAAGGTAGAGGAGGATGGCTTGCAAGCTAAATAACCCATAGGTTATAGTGTCCAAATATTATCATCATTCATCATACAAAACTTCAGCAGCAAATCATCCCCTTTTATCGGAGGAAAAAAACCCAACAGCCCACATAAATGTGCCACCCGAAGTAGCCAATAGAAGCCTCTTCTGGCTTCTTCTTGAGAAGATAAAATGCTAGACTAGAAATCAACCAAAGGGGAAAGGGGAATGGCTAACAACAATAAATCAAAGCCCAGCAAAATAGACCGAAACTACATGGGAAAACAGCAGGAATTCCAAGTACTGGAAACCAAAATCCGGTGGGAAAAAAAAACCAGCAATGAATCCGTAATTGCATGGGGAATACACAACCACCAGCCAATATAGGCAGACATGGGCCAAGCCCACTAAGGACAAAATAGTTCAAAGATAAATACCCACCTTGCCATCAAGGAAGCAAGGAAACATAAAAAAAAATTAAAAAAAAATCCAGCCACCATTGCTATCCTCCTCAGTGTTAACTAAATACGTTAAATCAAAAGGGCTCTATGGCATGTATCCCAAATATACACCCTAAAAGGTGTCGTTGACTTATGGATGGCGGTGCTGAATGCCAATTCAAGTCTTAGAAGACTGTCTTCGGATGAATCAAATTGTAGCTGCTTAGCATACAAACCATTGTTGAATTCACAACTTTTATTTCTCATATGTTTTGTGCATGAAATTGATGCTTTTTTTTTTAAGCTTTGGTGTCCATCTATGCCTAAAAGGCATTTCATGAATTATCAAGAAACCTATATATTGTCCCTTGAAGTGCTTTTTGAAGAAGGGCGCCAATGAGATTTGAGATTTTTTCTTTTAAATGACTAGCATGCTAGTCCTATTGCGTACATATAGTTTATCTTTTGATGTCTATACGAAGCATATGCAGCCAAATTAAATATGTTGTTTGCACATTGATTTATAAGCTATGATTAAATTTAAACCTATTAATGCATCCTCACTTTTACTACCATTGCTTTCATAATTTATTACTCTACTTATATTATGTGCCTTATAGAGGAAATGGTGAAACCAGGGGATTAGGGTTGGTCATGCCCCCATTTTTGGGAATAATTAGATATTGTATGACAGCTTCTCTCTTAAATTATTTCATAACTATTTATATTATTTTAAGCTTTAACCCTCCAAGTTTTTGTTAAATCCTTTTACCCTCTCTTGCTTCAAATTCTAATTTCTCCATTAGATTTGATATTTGTTTCTTTCCATCTGTTGAAGCTATCTTTATCATAAGTCTAATGATGATGACCCATTAAAATGTTATTCTAAGCTGGGTAGCCGTACCCTCCAATTTGAGGGACAATCTCTTATTTTTAGATATTGTATGAAAGCTTCACTCTTAAAACATTTTCTAAATACATACATGTTATAAATACATTGCCCCTCATAGTTCGAGGTAAATTTTTTTGCCTTCTCACTTCATATTCTAGTATTGCCATTGGATTTGGTATTTCTTTCCTTTCATTTATTGAAACTATCTTTGTTTTAAGTCTAATGACACTAATAGGGTGCTAAAGAACAAAAGGACTAACCCTTACAATGCTAGACAACTATGAGAATCTTAGTAAAACTATATAACCATGATTGCCCGCTGGACTAAGATATAAAAGAAATCATGATTAAAAGGTCTGCTAGACTATATACCACAAAGATGGCTTCCCAAAGGATTTGGCACCGGTGGATACTTGCAAGAATTTAACAAATAGCAAACGTGGACAAGATTAATAACACTAAAACTCTAATATTCAAAGAGAGCTTGACCAAGTGTTGAAATTGAGGAACCAATAACCTAAGATAAACACCATTCCATCAATACTTTGTTTTTTACTTTCCCAATGTTTTCATGGTCTATCTAGAAATCATCCCAAGGGGGAAGCTCTTGGAAGCTCCCAACACCTTGCTATTGTGGCAAGTTTCTTCCATGCTTCAATTTTGGACTATGTATTCCTACCCTAATTACAAATGGTTGCCTTCATGCCAATACATCGTAGTTCATCTTTTAAAATTGCACAATATGAGACAAGCTTCAACATAATTTATATTAAAAATGCCTTGAGACGCATGCCTCGAGTAGTCCAGTTTATGCATACAACTCACATAGTTTGAGGCGATGTGTCTTGCCTCTGTAGCTCGTTTAAAATTGTGCAATATGAGACAAGCCTCAACATAATTTATATTAAAAATGCCTCGCATAATCCATTTGAGGCATACATACGCCTCACATGTGTTGAGGCTATGTGTCTTGCCTCTGTAGCTTGAGTTGCATGCCTCAAGTTTTTTTTTTTTTTGTATTTTGTTGTATGGTAATTAAATAACCTAAACCAAGCTAAAATGCATGCACGCTACAAAGCCGAGACTGAGAGAGTCACCTCATATTCCTCTCTCTTATGAAGACTCCCGATTCCCCTACCGCTAGCCCTATGCCATTGCTGGCCAACTCTAGTGCCATTGATGTCACTGTTGCTTTCTCTTATAACACCCAAGTTTCTTTCATCCACAAATATTATCCTGTCTTAATCATAAATTTTCTTTTTTTGGGTTAAAGTTTATGAAACTTAATTTTTATTGTTTGAATAATTTCATTTTCTTTAGATGGATTTGTTGGCTTGTTTGTTTATTTGAATGTTTTTCGTTCCTAAATTTGAATTAATTTTTCCATTAATGGGAGATTTTCCTACTACAATATGATTCGTTTCATGGAAAGCTTATGGTCGCGGCTTGAAACTTATATTCGTGTATGATTTAAAAATGTGGATTTAAAAGGTGGTGTTGGCCAACATAGACAAATTTATTGAAGAAATTAGGATGACTTGGAGCCAGATTGGGGTTATTATGATGTTTGATAGTGATCTACATTAGGAACATTACTTTGATTAAAATATTGATGAACAATCTATACATAACTATTTTGTTGAATTTTAGAATACTTTCTGATTAAGGGAAGGATGCTGATTACATTTTTGGATTGCTAGATATCGTGGTTGAGGAGATATGAGAGCACTTGGTTGTAATTGTAACAAATAACGCTAGTGCTTATAGGGCATTAGGAGCCAAATTGATGGATAAAAAACTTCATTGGACTCCATGTGTTGTATACTGCTTAGATCTTATACTTAAGAAGCTAGGTGAATTGCCACAATACAATATCTTAAGAATGAACTAAGGCAAGAAATTTATCAAATTCATATACAACCATTTTCTGGGCTTATACTGATGGGGACATCAGATTTCGACACGTGTACCATCGCCGGAGACGCCGATCGACGGCCATGATTCAGAGCCTTTATTTTTGATGTTTTATTTTATTCATGTCATTTATATTTCATGTTTTTCCTTTTGTACCCCTATGAGGGAATTAGTGCTTATTGTAGCCCAAGGGCGTTATCGTCTTTATGCATTTTATTTCTAGACAGCCTATATAAAAGGCTTTGTCATTGTATTTGAGATTATTATTG